TCCAAGGACGCCCCATGCTGCACCACGGGGCTCCCCAGCCGTGTTGACAGTCCTGAGTCGCCCCGGGGGTAGGGAGGTGGGTGTCCGAAAAAACCTCCATGTTGCGGCACAGCTCTTTCGCACCATGGTCAGACTCGCACCACGCTGGGAACCAAACTGCAGATATTCTGGACGGCTCTCACACTGCAGCGCGGCTTCTGTCTTTGGCAGAATACGATGTTCCTGGTATTCTTAGCTAACTGGAACTGGCTAAATTAATTTGTAGTGGAGGAGCTCGAGCACCAGGGCTCACTCCCCGTCACCATCAGAGCAATTTATCGCCATGGCAATTCCATACAATTTCCTCTCCCTAAGCCTCCAATTGCAGCACAGCGATGCAAAGAAAAGGAAAAATTCCACTGTATCTCAAGGCTTCTTGCTCTCTCTCTCTCCCTCTTGAAAATATACGCTGAAATAAGGGGGGTTGAGTTCCAGTTTCCGGTGAGGCAGATGTAATCGGCTTGTTTGGGAGCTCCAAAGATAACTAAACTACAAAGGTTTTTAAATAACTTTTTAATGTTCTGCGTTCAGATATCATTATCTAGCCTGACGGAAGCTTGAGAACTCATCTGTTATCTGAATAGTTGCCTAGTCAGGCAGTTCTCCAGGCCTTGGAAGTAATGCCTAAGAAAAGAAACTTGTGTTGTTCAAATTCGTGGTTTGTTTAAAATTGATTTAGAATGGGGCTTCTTTTGTAAAGAGGAAACTCTAAACAACTAAGTAAAAGGAAATCCTAAGTAAATATTTTAATGGCAAGGTGCATTGAAGCTGCTGGCATTATTGTGATGGAAGTGAGAGAAAGGGAGCCCTGATAAGGAAGTCAAAGCAATTTGGATAACATAAACAACTTAATAGCAAGCTATAATGTAATTAGCACCGAATGGGGCAGAAGAAAAGAGCTTACCCTTTTGAAGGTGAAAACATATCTCTGACTCGCAAGCAATCTAAATTGGAAGACTTTTATGCCCCAATAAAACTTATCAAACAGATTTGAATGCCTGGAGGAGGCAAGACGGTGGGGACAGATCCCAATTTCCACCCACCGAAGCTTGCTTCACGTCATCTACTGATTCTGCTATATGCAAATGACGTGGCCCTGCTATCTAGAACACTGCTAGGATTACAAAGGGCACTAGATTGTTTCGCAATATACTGTGAGAAAGAACACCTGGTGATAAACTTTGATCAAACAAAAGTGATGGTATTTGGTAGACATCACAAGAAGTATTTGTGGACAATGAAAGGAAACAAAATTGAGCAAGTAAATAAATTTGTTTACCTGGGTGTGTCCATTCAGGACTTGGGAGCTAATTCAGCACACTGTAATATGAGGGTGGAAAAAGCTGAGAAAACAGTACATGCTATCTTGACATTTTATCGATCTAAGGGAGGGCTGTATGTTCTGGCAGCATTGAAGTTGTTTCAAGCTAAAGTAGTAACGCAGCTCCTTTATGGTATCTACTTGGGCATTTCTGCCACTAATTTATGTGCTCTGGAGAAGGTTCAATCCAGATTCATTTGCAAGGTTTTACAGGTTCCTCTGAGGGTGCCAAATGCCCTTCTATGCGTAGAAACTGGTCTAATGAGAATAGAAGCCAGAATATTGTTATCCTCTGCATATCAATGGCTCAAGATTAATTCAAATCAAAAAGGACTTTCCCCCCTAATAAACAAAGATTCCTATCAGCCAAGGTGGATTCGAATGACCAAGACTAATTTAGAAAAAATGGGACACTCGCCTGAGGATTTATTGGCACAAAACAGCTTACAGGCGAGAAGTATAATAAAACAAAGGATTTGTGATCTAGAGCGCCAAGGGGATTTAAACCGAGCTCCTTCTTTTCTGGTCCATAATGACTCCAGATATGTAATGAAAATCACGAAATACCTGACTTATCTGGATGTGCCACCCTATAGAAGAATTCTTACCCTGGCTCGTTGTGCAGCTATTCCTTCTAAGGTTTTAGAAGGAAAATATAGAAAGATACCATATGAAGACAGGTGCTGCCCATGCTGTATGGGAGAAGTGAAATTGATGTTCCACATGTTCTTTCACTGTCCTTTTCATCAGATTTATAGGAATAAGCTTATTGCCCCCCTCTTGGATAGACCAGCACTTGATGCAGATAGTGTTGATCTAGAGAGACTTTTGATAGAGGAAGATCAGCAGATCTCCAAACAAATAGCAAAATTCTGCTGGAAACTGGTAAAATGTCACAATAAGAAGCAGATCAAGTAGAATCCTCATTTACCTTTTGCATGACTCATAAGTAGTTTAGTTTTAAACATCTTATAATTATTTTGATATAATGGACTGTTAAACTTTTCTCCTTTTAACATTTTAATGATTTTAAGATTATATGTTTATTTTTAGAGCTGAAAGCTAATTTGCTTGTATTTAACAAATATGAATTATTTTGATAAATGGTCTTTGACCGCAAATAAACATCATTCATTCTCTGCCTCTCTCCCTAACAGTTTACCCCCACCCTCTTTTTCCCTGTAACTAGCTTTTGAGATTTTATTCTAGTTTTGTCTGAAGAAGTGTGTTTTGCACACGAAAGCTTACACTTTGAATAAAGCTTTGTTGGCCTCAAAGGTGCCACTTGACTCAAACTTTGTTCTCTCTCGGAGAGTGGGGAAAACAACTGCATCTTGTCCGGGAGGGGGAATTGCAAATGAGGCTGAGGTCACAGGTATGGAATCGACATGGCGATGAATTGCTCTGTTTTTAAGTGCCTCAGCGCTCCCATTAAAAAAAACAGCCAACAGCTGAATATCGTGCACACAAGCAGGGTGAGAAGAGGAAGTGGCGCTTTATGAAATGGCCAGATCGCTTCAGAGACAGGCCATTAACGGAAGGTAATTCACTGTGTGAAAGACCTGTCCCTGTATCGCTGTACTCAGAACCGGTCCAATGACAGATACCATTCGGAATATAAATGTGAAAAAGGCCAAAAAATTAACTGTTCCCTGGAAGGGAGAGCTTGAGTGACAGGCTGCTCTTCTTTGATTGGCCAGCGCCAGCATAGGAAAATATAGGATCAGTTGATGGAAGTGGCCAGTTGTCAATCTGGAGATTACAGTTGGAACCTTTCTGAGGCAATCAATAGATTTTTGCCAGAGTTTTGGAGTCAGTGCATCTGAGAAGATAAGTCAGACAGGTTCATCTGTAGAGTGTAAGTAAAAGACTCATTGCCTTAACTGTTGTATTCCTAACATGAATTCACTATAAGAACTCAAAGTCTAAGAGTCAACATAAACTGAAATCTGCTTTATACAGACACCAGAACTGGGAGAGAGATTTGGCAAGAGTGACTGGGGTAGTGTGTGGAAATTCCCTTTCAAGCCAGGGTTAATTCCTCTGAGGAGAAGAAGATTAATCCCTGCCCAGTGTCTGAGGATTTAGCTTTGAGGAGGACTGTAACGATTTCATGTTTATTTGTGTGTGTGTCTTTAAAAGTTTGGTTTATCTTGCTGTGTGAACGTCTAGTGTGGTTGAAATAGGCAAGTTGTGTGATTGGTGAGTGACAGAGAGGGGGAGGGTTTTGGGAATGGATGCTGTGTGGATGATTTGAATGTCTATCAGGCGTGACTGTTAGAGTTATGACAGTTGATGAAGTCAGTTAGTCAGTCAGCAGAGAGTGTGGTGTAAAAGCAGTTGATAGGAGTTTTGAGTTCTGTTTTCTGTGAGAGAAGCAGAAGAGGAATTAAGTTCTGTCTCTGAGTGGAAGGAGACATCCCTGTGTGGGAAGGATTTGGTTCTGTGTGTGAAAAGAGTGACATTTAGTTCTGTGTTATAGGAGTTACAATTAAAAGCTGAGAGTCTAGGAAAAAGTACAGTGAAAAGTGTTACAAAGTTGCTTGAAACCTCCCTGTCAGAAAAAGAGAAGCTTGTGAGAGAGACACCCAGCATTTGTTCAAATCATTCCCAGTACTGTTCACATTGTTTACCCTCATATTTATGCTTTCTTTAAATAAATCCCATTTCCTTCAAGTATACCAGCAGTAAAGAATCCTTCCTCAGACCACATAGTACCACGAACGCCTAAAACCCTCGGTATACCTACCCTGTGAAAAATATTATAGAAAAAGGTTTGGAAAGCCTAAATTTTCCTGGTGGCAGTCAGAATACCCTACAGAGTAAAACTGAAAGAACATTTTGAGGTAAAACTAGACCTCCCCAAATGGGAGGTCGTCACAAGGACACTAGTCTGTTGTAAGGGAAAATGGTTTTAAACAACTCAGGAAATAGAAATAAACTGTAATTTAACCAAGGAGTGAGTTAGGTTCACGAAGTAAGAGACCAACTCCAGGAAACTTGAAATGCCATAGGAAACTCTCTGATGAAACATTGTTGCTGTAATTAAAATACTAAGTAAAACACCTTTTACAATTAAAAATGAAGAATACCTGAAAATAAGCTTTAATAACGTCATTTTGCCTACTCGAATAAATGAATTCTGTATTATCAACAATTTTTACCTCAGCAATCCAATCCCTGACTCACCTGTTCAGTCCCTGCCTGTTGAATAAACTTGTTCTTTTGTTTTACTGATAAACTGTCTCTAGTGCCGTTTCAAAAGGGAAATAAAAAGAGGGCTTCTGCTTTTCCACAACATTTTCCTTGGTCTGAGCTAAAAACTGGATTACATTCTGTGGGACAGGGTGGGACAGAAATTCTTTTAAAAACCTGTTATTTACATGCTTCCAAGGGCTGCTCAGTCACAGCAGGGAATCAAAGAATTTTGGCAGGAAGGTTAATGCCAGTGTGGGGAGAGTGAAAAGGGTCCATTGTATGAACACTTAACTTGCGGAATCACCAATATTATGATTTGTTGAGCTTTTGCAAAAATTACTTTTAATAAAGCAGGATTTTATATATGCAGTCTGTTTGCAGTAAGACTAGTCTTGTAATGGCAAAGATCATAGAGTAATACAGTGTGCTTTAAATCTTGCAGGACAGCATCGGGTCTCTGTAACCAGCCTTTTGGCGTGCTATGGCCTCTTATTGGTTGGGACAAACCTAGGGATTATAGTAGCACTCCCAGTTCCTCGTTTGCAGGGAATCCCAAAAGTAACTGGTAAGTAGAATGTCTGATCTAATCTTCTGTGGCCTATACTGAATTACTGTTCTTTACCCAAATATACAGCTTTCACCATAATTCAGATAAATAAGGTGTAGGGGTTATAAAAGTGATTTTGTTGCTGTAGTTTCAACTGAAGGTATTAATTTCCTCTGTGTGTGTGTGTGTGTATGTGTGTATCTTAGCATACAACAAAATGAAATATTGTGTTAGAGAAGTAATGCCATCTCATGATTGTCCCTCTTTGCATATGATCTCACTAGGTGAACTTATTAATCAAGCCAACATGAATTTGGGGGGGGGGGATTAGTAATCCACATGTGGGCTGGTTGAGAGTCTGTTGACCATGCTTATGGCTTGGGAAATGTACACAGATTTTTTAGTCTTGCACGGTTTTCCCATTAAACCGTTTTAACAGCTAGTTAGCTGCTTTTCTGGACAGCTCTTTCAATACAAAGGTTAAAAGAGAAACTATGATTGTAATTTAATACCTTACAGGACATGTGCCATTATGCTGCAGGGCCTTTAATTTTAAAGCTTTTGTCTAGAATCTAAGAAAGAATTTTACTTTAGTGAGACCAGCATCATTATGTAAAGAGATAACGGGTGGGGTAAGATTGATTGAAAACAAGGCCTTTGGCTGTGGATTGTGGAAAAAGCATGCAGTGTTGAGATTGCAGAAATGCCAAGTAAAACAAGTCAGCTGATCTCTTTACTCATGCTGTTGTAAAAACAGAGAACAAAGCATGAACTGTATGTCAACTTCAACTCTCAGTGTCCTAATTTTTTCTGATTTGTTCTAGGGTCAGAAGGTCACTGTAGTATATAGTAGGCTCTTCTAATGTGTTTTAATTCTGTTCACATGTTTTACTCCTAAGAAAGTGGGTAGAGGCAGAATATGACTCCCTGTTGTGTAAAGTAAGAGTTTACATGAGTTTACACAGGAGCCACCAAACAGTGTACCTGTCCAGTCCTCCTGTTGTGTGTGTGTATATGTTCCCCTTTCCCACACCACAATACTGGTTGCAGATGGTAGAGGCAGGGAATCTCAGTATGATGACACCAGACCATTTGGTGAGTATATTTAAATGTTATGGATGAGGAGGGAAAATTATAGAAACATTGTTGCATTAACATATGTGTGAATTCAGCAGTTGTGCTTCCAAGCCAAGGATGTGGTGCAACAGCAAGAATGGTGGTCACCAAACCGTGTATGACCTTGATGTAAAGGCACTGTAACATGGCATAGTTTCAAGCCAAATCATTAAGAACATATCAAGAGGAACAACTAACCAAAGGAGACTGACTCATAACTTTTTCTACACCACCGCCATCTAAATTCCCTACCACCTAGGATATTAAGATCATCTCTTGGAATGTGGCCAGCTGGCAAAATAAGGCCAAGGATGTTGAATTTATTAGCTACCTCAAGCAGTTTGATGTCATACTAGTGCAAGAAACTTGGTCTCCATGCCAGATTCAGATTGAAGGGTATAAGTCCTATACCCTTCCTGCCTTCAGAAGTAATAAAAGGGGTCGCTTCCAAGCAGGATTGTCTATTTTTGTCTCCTCATATCTTTTCTTGGAATACATCACTCTAAAGATGACTAGCCCTATGGCGCAGGCCATCAAGCTTGTCCTTAATACATCTTCTCTAATTATTGTGAATATATATGTACCCTCCTCTTTAGACAATTTAACTCTTTCTCAATGTTGGGAACACTTGGCCACTATTATGGAGGAATTAGAGAGGAAATTTCCGTCTACTGAAATAATTTTAGTGGGTGATTTTAACGCTACAGTAGGAAGGGATTGCAGCATATTTTTAAAGCTCTTTTCAATCAAGACGATATTCTTCCACCTACTTTTTCCTATCCAAGACATTCTAAAGATAGCTTTTTAAACCCAGCAGGTATGTGTCTTGCCAGATTCTGCATGCAATTCAACAGATTCTGGCTAAATGGTCTGATTGGCTTCCCAAACTCTGGAGAATTTACTTTTGTTTCCTGAGGGGCTGTAGTGTAATCGATTATTTTTTAATTTCTCCCTCACTGAAACTGCATGTCAGAGATTTTACAACAGATGATTTTATTATCAGCAGTCATTTCCCTCTCATTTTAACTCTTCAAGTTGGCCCTCGTGCCTGTCCTTCTTGTAACCTGCTCTTACAACTCTCCGGGACTGATTTACTACCTAGAATTTCTTGGAATGATCGTATAGTAGGGAAAACTCAACGACTGTTAAAATCTGGCCTTGCTGCTAAGTATAGATCCTTCCTAATAAGTGCATCCGACACTACTGCATCTATGTCAGTCTACAGTTCTCTAATATCCTATATTTCTGAATCACTGAGCATTAATGCAGGATGCCCAGGGAAAGGAGATGATCCATGGGGTCGCGAAGAGTCGGACTCGACTGTGCGACTGAACAACAACAACAAATACACTCATGGTTTGACAGAGAATGTAAAGAAACAAAAACTTTACTATGTAAAGTTTACAGTCACTACCACAATTCGAAAGCCCTAACTTTGCCACCTGAATACTTTAAAATTCAGAATCAGCTGCGCCACCTTATAAAAAAGAGAGACATGATTACATTAAAACTCAATGGGAAGAACTATATCATGCCACAACTCTAAATAATTCCAAAACATTTTGTGCCACAGTCTCAGGTGCATTCCAGGCTGATGATCCCTCCATGTCTGTTATCTCTTCTTATGTTTGGTTCCAGCACTTTTCAGCTCTGTTCTATCAAGAATACTTGCGCCGAACCATTTGAGCCTTCTACAGCCGACTTACCTGACTGGCCTCCTGTGTCACCAGAGAAAATCAAAGAACTAATTGTGTAGCTGAAATCAGGAAAGGCTCCTGGCCCTGATGCCATCCCATCCGAAATTTTAAAATTAGATCCAGACTGGTGGGCCTCCCTCCTTGCATCCCTGTTTACAATCATAGATAGAACTGGTACAATTCCCCTGTCATGGCTGAATGCAATAATGGTCCCATTATACAAAAAAAGGTGATCATACCAACCCTGCCAATTACAGGCCGATCAGCCTACTTTCCATTATTGGAAAGCTTTACGCTAAACACCTATTAGTCAAACTCAATCTTTGGATGTTGCAAGAAAAAATTATAGGCCATGAACAGCTGGGTTTCTGCAAAGGAAAGACCACTTTAGATCATTGTGTTATCTTATCCCATTTACTCAATAAGTACGCTGTACAAAATAATTAGAAATTATTTGTTGCTTTTCTAGATTTAAAAGGTGCATTTGATTCAGCTGATAGGGACCTTCTCTGGACCAAGTTAGACCAGCTAAATATGGACAGAAGACTTCTTATGCTTATTAAAAATTATATACCTCTAACACCTGTCAGATCAAATGCTCAGTAGCAGGCAATTGACACCAAAGATAAGGGCGTCAAACAGGGCTGTATTTTAGCTCCCTTTTATTTAATCTTTTTCTCAATGATGTTGGTGCTCAGTTGTCTGGTGCTGACTGCCATATTGGTGCAATACACGTACCCCTGCTACTTTACGCTGATGACACAGTGTTGTTGTCCTGCTCCAGAGTGGGACTGTCTATTGACCTGTTGTGTAGCATTTTTACTACTAATAAGCTTCAGTTAAACCACGAGAAGTCAAAGATCTTAGTCTTTTCAAAAAAGTGGAGATCTTACAATTGGGTCATTGCTGGAAAAGAGATAGAGCAAGTCAAACATTTTAAATATTTAGGTATTTATTTTCAGTATAATGCAACTTGGTCTACCCACCGTACATATGTAGTGAAATCAGGTAACATTAATGCATCAGCTATAACAGGTTTTTTTAATGGCAGAGGTAACCCTTTTGTGCAAGCTGCCATAAAAATGTTCAAGGCCAAAGTGACCTCACAATTATTATACAGCATCCCGATTTGGATTGAAGCCTTTGAATGTGCTACTAAAGGGAGCCAATCCAAATTAATTTGAAGTTATCTGCTTGGAAACTGGCATGTCTCTAACCGAAACTAGTGCATGGCTTATGACTGTCAAATTCTGGCTACGCTTGCATTATAACCTTGAACCTGGGAGCTTTATCTCTCAAATGCTCTCCGAATCCAATATGTCAAACTGGTCAGCATATACTGAGGGGGAAATTAAAGCAACGGGCTTATGTATAGAATCACTGTCTATGCTGACTTTCACTGCTGCATTTCATCAAATTAAAAACAGAATGCTAGACATTGAATGCCAGAAGTTATTTAGTCAGTCCAACAAAACCTGCTCCCTGCTGAGTTTTGAGATTCCCCTCATTACTGGGAAAATGGCCCCATATCTATCTTCTTTGCAGGTGCCACAGCAGCACAGAGCATTTTCCCTTGCCAGATGTAATGCCATGCCTTCTGCTATTTTTAATAGCAGATTCAGTAAGATAGCCTACTCAGCCAGATACTGCCCTTGTAATCAAAAATGTGTTGAGTCAATCACTCATGTTCTTCTCTATTGTCACCTATATACATATTTATGTTATATGCATTTACATTCTGTTCTAGTTAGGATGAGGGACTGTTCTGATGCATTTAAGGTTTATAAACTTTTGAATGATTTCTCTTCTAATGTCACCGAGAAGGTGGCTAAGTTTCTGTACTCTGCTATAAAGGTATGCCAAGGGATCTCACAGAAATAATCTTATATTTACACTGATGTATGTTTGTTGCAGTTTTAACTTACCTTTTAAACTGTATTTACTTGTATCAATTTTTTTCTATGACAATAAAGGCTACTTAACCTAACTAACATTCATTTCTTGTTCAGAGGATTTAATTGCTCGCAAAATAATGACCAGCGTAATGAGAACCCTTCTTAATTAAATGTATTTTCTTTTTGGCTGCAGGAAGGGGAATGGTCTCTTACCATGCACATAATGGCCCAGTTAAGTTCCTCGTAATGGCTTCCATGACAAACAAACGTAACAAAAGCAAATCAAGGCATAGTCTGAGTCAACCTCATTCAGCATCAAAAGATGATGACCAAAAGAACGTTGTTCACAATGAGCAACACGGTTCCTCCCTGAGCAACACAGATGACAATGCTGTTTGGCTTGGAGATTCAGTAGGCTCTATTGCTCAAAAAAGTGACATGTCTTCATCTTCAGGGTCTCTAACGCTATCTCATGAATCCTCCACCACTGAACACAGGCCCGAGGAGAGCGCTGTCTATGAGCTTTTGAAAGATGTTGCTCTTAATCAAAGTAAAAAACATAGATCCAAAGAAGGGAAAGCAATTTCTGTATTAGTTATCTCTGGAGGCCAAGGGCATAGAAAAGTGAACAGAAAATCTAAGCCACAGCGACCGGACGAATTGGTTTCATCTGTGATGATTTGGCAGATTCCACTATTAAATATCTAATATCATGATGCAGTATGACTCTGTAAAAGACAACATCTTTAGCTCCAGAAAATTCATTATGATGATCCCTCTTCAAAAGAGTGTGACTCTGTAAAAGACATCATCTTTAGCTCCAGAAAATTCATTATGATGATCCCTCTTCAAAAGAAAATGGTGGTGGTGTCATCATTTCAAAAGGAGTTCTAAGCTACGGTGCAACTTTCCTACGGTCTGCTCTTATGGCTAGTTATATAGATGTCAATAGGACCAATTGTTCAAGTAAGACCTCTAAAGATATCCCAAGACCTCCCTTTAAGAACTGTCTAGAAAATGCTTAACTCTTAATGCTTATCTGTGTAACAGAAATATAACTTTATAAGTATTTCAGTTCATTTTAAGCTGTTTTTTTACAATGTTGCCATTATTTATATTCCTGTTTTATGGCCTTGATCCCTACATGAGAGACAAGAAACAAATAGTATTGTACTGATGGGCCTTGCTTTCTTAAGTAACCTCTTTTTACTAAGCAATATCCTGCATGTGCTGCATATTTTACCCAAGGTTTTTGAGCAATAACTATTCCAATATAATCTCAATTCCAGAGCATGTAGATAATTTGTCAAGGCACAGACAAAAAATGGAAGTTGGTCAAATATTTGTTTTAGATTTATACTCTTTTGAAACAAACAATAATAGTTTTAAGATCTGGTATTTAAATCTATGCAGAAAATAAATGTAAAAATTCAATATGAAATGTACACTTTACTCATTTTATTTTAGAGCTTGCAGCTTTTAGTTAAGCAGTAGGTATATGTAATGTTTTTTCTTTCACTAGTGTCATTGTACATTCTGTTGCTGGCAATGGAGTGTTTGTCATTCGTGTGTAAATTGTATATGTTTGGAATTATGTGGGGTGGGGCAGGATTGCAGAAAAATAAATGTAACATGAAGCTTGGAAAGAAGAGAACAAAAGAACTGTAACATGAAGAGACCATGATGACCTCATAAGGTAATATTGAATTCAGCGCTATACAAATATATCAAATGCCTGCCGAAAGTGTACATTATTAATACAAGCTTTCATCTAAGGTTGGCTGATATTCACTTTAACTATGACAGTAGGTAAAATCCACTGCATAATATGTGAGCGGAAGAAGCTTGCCATAGTGCCATATTGTAAGGAAAGAGCATTTGTTTACCGAGAGCAAGATGCACAAAGCCCTCTTGCGCAAACTCCATTCTCCACTCTGTTTCAGTTCAAGCAGATACCATACATACCTGGGATTCAGGCTAGTCTACGAAGTCCAACACTGCTACAGTTTGGCTAACTCAGTCTACAGTTACATGCCCTGCATGCTCCTGTTTGAAGCTAGGAGCAATTTCATCTTCTCCACCCAACTTTAAGGTGGTATTGGCAGCCATTTCATAAGGTGTGAGCCTTCTTGGAGCCTGGAACCTGCTGGAATTCAGGTTGCATAGTGAGGCGCTTGCTTTGTGCCCATATAACTCCATAAAACACACAATGGGTTATTCTTGGACTTGTGGAAATTATTAAAATTAAATGGGTAGGAATTGGTGGTGACCTGCAACAATGATTATCCCACTGGCTATGAGTAGTTGGATCATGCCTAGTTGCACCCTTTTGTCCTTGATGCAGGAGGCATTGCAATGGGGAGTCCCGCTTGGGAAGATAAATCCTGTGATGTTACATCTAGTTCAGCCTCCAGTATCAGCAAATAGTAGACACTGCCAAATGAAGGTGAGAATGTGAGTTCAATATCCTTGGTCCTGGGTGGAGAGGTCATGAGAATCATTTACACTTCAACACGCTAGCTACCAGTGGGACATTTGTGACTGACAGTCACATCTGTGTAAACCCTGTGTGCTCCTAAATGCAGTTGTGTGTGATGTGATCCAGGAAAAGATACAAGTGTCAGCAGTTCAAGTAAAATGTTATTGAGCAAATATTCAGAAGCAGAAATGAACCCTGAGTCCTATGTTACCAAGTCAATGGACACAGGTCAAAAAGAAAGCTGACAGATTTTTTTATGAAGTTACCATAATATTTCCAGCCCTGGCTTTTTAGATCAATTCCCAATTATATAGATGTTCAGCCCATTTTTTGCATATGCTTAAATAAACTCTTTTGGTTTGAGTGCTGTGTTTGGAATGCTGTTACTTGTGCTTTTGAAACATAAAGGCTCTGGTCTGAATCAAGCAGATGCCATAGGCACAATCCAGCAAAGCTCCATTATTCCTAAAATCAATTTATTTCAATAGAATTTAGGCACTTAACTGTTTGCTCATTGTGTGCTCTCATTCTTTTGGAATGTCAGCTTAGATGGGTGCGAGGTTGACCTTTTCCCCATTAACAACTTTTATCATGTGAGAGTCAAGGTTACAGCCATCAAAAAATTATGTAGCAGGTTAAGCTTCCTCATTGATTTTATTGCCATTTGCCAAGATCCTAAGAACTGCAAAGCTATTGCAATGGTGTGAACTTGCTCTTCTTGAACAGCAGCTTTCCTGTTCCTTGTGGGAAATTTTGTTGTTTAATCTCATGGAGGTTTCAAAAATCATCCGGGACAGGGCTTGGGGCACATCTGTCCAAGTGAAAGATGCCAGGCTAACTCAGCCCTTGACCAGTTCTTCAAATTCCTGATGTTGAGTATTACGAATAAAGTATAGACCTATCTACAAAATATATGCTGCTAGATATTATGGTAAATAATAGCTTTAAAGTATTTTACAAACTTGTAGATCGACTGAAATACTAACAGTAACCAAGTATAAAATATAGTATTTGCTTTGTAATATATTGCAAAATGGTACCACATTGTTTTAGTGTTGGACATGAGCCAATGTTGAGGCATTTCTAGAGTCAACAAATAGATATCGTTGAATGTGTTGCTAGGTGGACCGGGTTTTGTTTCTGATTCCACTTGGAAAAAGCAGAAGTCTTTGCAAAACAGGAAGAAGGGGAACTAATGTATAACCACTACAGTTCATTAACTATTTTCTAACCTTTAATAGTATGAATGTAATAACCTGAGCCATAAAAGTTTGTATTTATGTCCCAAATAAACTCTGAAATGTTTTTAAAGCCCTCTGTGAATAAACAAGTCTTCAAAATGGTACTTGTAGTGTTCTAATTTACAGTTAAAAGTTTACCAAGCACACACACTTTGTGCTCTGCTGGCTAGAAACATCTCAGAAAGGACTTTTCTTGAAGAGGTACAATTTAAAAGCAAGTACAGTATGCATTCGATATTCCCTATACTTTTTTTATTTTACTATACTGATTATTTAAAAGCTGATTGGCAACCATATGCATTTTTGTAGTCTGGAAAACACAGAGGTGCTCTAGTTCTATGTTTGATGTAGGGCCCTGATAAATCCAATGTAATAGAGTGCTTCATGTCAGATTGGGAGTCCAGGTTTGGATTTCCACTTAGCGATAGAAGCTTGCTCTCAGCCTAATCCTAATTCACAGGGCTGTCATGAGAATAAAACAGAGGAAAGAATGTAAACTATTTTAGGTCTCCATTGGCAACAAAGGCAGGGTATAAGTGAAATAATTTGTTTTTAAATTAAAGTTTAAACAGAAAAACACTCACCGGATTATTAGCAAAGAATGCATCCTAGTTCAGACAGCATCCCTAAAAATCCAGCAAATGTTGAAGAGCTGCTGGAGTTTAATGGAGGTCTATCACAAGCACCATCAGAATAGGTAAAGGTAAAGGTTTCCCTTGCTCGAAAGCCAGTCAAATCTGACTCTAGGGATGCGGTGCTCATCTCTGTTTCCAAGCCGAAGAGCCAGCGCTGTCTAGAGACACTTCCGTGGTCATGTGACCGGCATGATTAGACGCCAAAGTGCACGGAATACTGAACCCAAAGCTCAAAAAATGGGATAGATCCATTACCTGACAGGCTTGAATGTGCTGCCTGCAGGTGGTGAGAGGCCTTAGGTGGGCTGTCATGGCATAAGCCAAGAGGCAGCATATACAAAGCAGAGTCTATGAGCTGATGGATTTTTTAAAAGCATGTGAATCTTCCTGGGACAGCATTATTTCAGAATGCAGAAGACAACTATCCCATCATGTATATGGTTGGGGACCTACCTACCTAAAGCCCTATATGGTCGGGGACCTACCTAAGGAACCACCTTCCCCACATGTACCCCAGAAAGCATTAAGATCTGGATCCCAAGATCTCCTGGCCCTTCCAGGCCTGAAAGAGACCAGGTTGGCTACAATGAGAGCCAAGGCCTTTTCTGTGGCAGCCCCTCACTGGTGGAATGAGCTCCTGGATGACATCAGGGTCCTATGGGACCTTTTGCAGTCCCGTAGGGCCTGTAAAACTGAGCTCTTCTGCCAGGCTTTCAAGTAGGGTGCCGCCTTGACATCATGGCCCTGGCCCTAATATCAATACCATCAACAACCTGGCCTTAACATCAGTATCACCACCAGCCAGATGACTAACAGCGTGGCAGGAGCCTGGAGGCGGCCATTCAAATGATGACAGAATGTTGCCATCTTGTATTATAGCTATGTGTTGCGTACCTACGGTTTTATATTGTAATCTTAATTTATGCTGGCTTTATTATATATATTGGAGTTTTAATGTATACATATATATCTATGTTGTTAGCTGCCCTGAGCCCGCCAAGGTGGGGAGGACGGGATATAAATATAATAAATAATAAATGTAGAAAGCTTCAATATCAGACAAAAAGGATTCGACCTGTAGTTTTTTGCTTAATGCACATGTGTAGAGAAAAACAGTAAATTCTATGGGATAGAGTTAGATTTAAGTGATCTGTAAGAAAGGAAAATAATTTCATAAGTTCATTTTTAAAAAGTTTATCCCCAGGAAAAACTGCCAACAATGTATGAATGTATCATTACTGAAGAAGAGTTGGTGCTTTTGTAGTACTACTAAAGACATTCAAGAGCCTATTCAAGCAAACTTTGAATGATTTTAGATCAGTTGAATTAATTGTGGGAAAAAACTTACAGAATTTGCCATTAATAAAGGTATGTTGCAATTTGGTTTTATATTTTGTCCTTTGGAGTGTCCTGCAAGACACACTTTGATCTCTATGCCATTCTATTCCAGGGCTCCCTGTCTGACATCTGAGAGGTGTCTATGGAAGTTTATGAAGTAATAAGGAGCGTGAACTTTGCAGGCAGTGATTGTGGCAGTTCCCAGAGGCAATCACAACAATAAGATTGACAACACAGTGATGGGCAAATCTGTGCACCTATTAGGTAGATGTCAAAGGCACAGGAGCCCTGCCAGAGAAGTGTTGGCAACCTTAACAATGTTATAATTGCAAAGTCACTCTGCAATGGAGGGGAAAAGCTGTGTTATCTAAATCTGCCCTAAACTTTCTGAAGCAAGCTTTGGTGTACATAGTGTAATCACGAGCTTGAATGTTTCAATGTTTCAATGATACAGCTCTTGATCTAAGATCTGGTCATCTTGCAATTGCAATCACAACAGTATAAAATGTAACAAAAGGAAAACAGTTGTTTGGCATCATAGTTTGTTTCATGCCTGATGGTTTGGGTGAACTTGAGAACTAGCACGGCAACA